CTCTCTCTCTCTCTCTCTCTCTCTCTCTCTCTCTCTCTCTCTCTCTCTCTCTTCCCCCCCCCGCTCTCACTGCTGGCCGCTCATGCCCGACCCCGCTGCCGCCCGATATCTGTCTGCATGGAAGTATGGCCAGGCATTGCCGGATATGACTGCAATTTAAGTCCACATATGGCCAGCCATGACCGGGTATGACCCCAACAGGTCCTCAATTGCCATGAAAAGAGGTTGGTAGTCTGACTGAGTATGCCCTAAGTGAAGAGTTAATGAGATAATGCCCTAGGTGTGTTGATGAATATAATATGATACCGTGGCAGTTCTCTGTTTGTTAGCTTCTGAGGGACTGTCGAACAACCTGCATGCGTACAAGTGTAGGCATTTTACAGGGGCATTAGCAATAGGTTATCACCATTACAAGCCTCGCTCCACTGCTCAACAAATGTGCAAAATGAAAACGAATCTTCCGCTAGAACATGGAAAGATACACAGCCATATCTGTTGGCTTTTCTGCATGTGGTGAGCTGTGGAAACAAGGCGCTATCCCCTTGCAGAGAGACAGCTGGAAGAGGTGTCGTATAAAACACAATCTGAGGGAAGAGAGAGATTACACATCGGTTCGAGTGATGGGCAGCTTACTCAGTGAGTGTGTGTACTCACTATTTTGCAGGAAGCTGTGATGATTAAAATATGACTATGGGCATCACTCCCACTACACAAAATATGACATACATCTGGACAGAATGTTGACCATATGCATTCGCACTGATCTGAACCCCGATTAACTCCGGATACATTTACAAGCTTGTGCCGCGGACCTAGGCCCCATATCAGAGAAATGTTTAAAAGCTGTGATGCTTGAAATATGACAATGGGCCTCACTCCAGTACACACTGGACAGAACTCTTGACAATATGCATTCCAACTGATCTTTCTTTTTTTTTTTTTTTTTTTTTTTTTTTTTTTGAAAAAGAAGAAGAAGAATCCTCCTGCGTCAGATCCAATGTTTGGACTGATTCGGGACCATGATTAGATACATTTAACACACTTGTGCAGTGGAGTGAGGCCCTACATCAGGGGAAGGTATGGGACTTCTATCAGCTTTAAGGAGTAGATTTGAAAATAAATAAATAATAAGATTGGAATGCTAGAGATCATCGTAGTATTTTCCAGAACAGGAATCCTTGCACAAAAGGTTCACAGCTGCGATTTCGAGTTCTGCCTTCTTCTTGTGCTTTGACTCCGGGCAGTGCGAGAGTGCATGAATATGGTATTGTGTGTAGCAGATTCGGTTCGCTGGGCCTATGCACCTAATGAGGAACGAAATGAGAGCTTACAAAACCCCTCATTGGCGCGGGACGGACAGTCGTGTCCATTTTGGTTGACAAAATTGTCACTGAAGTGGGCTGCTATCTTTGCTTATGGTCTTCCAATTTATCAACCAGAGTTCTGTGTACATTCATCATAGTGCCAGAACAAGACCAGCACCCACAGCAGCAGCAGCAGCAGCAACAGCAGGAGGAGGAGGAGCAGAAGAAGCAGAAGCAGAAGCAGAAGCAGAAGCAGAAGCAGCAGCAGCAGCAGCAGCAGCAGCAGCAGAAGCAGAAGCAGAAGCAGAAGAAGAAGAAGAAGACGAAGAAGAAGAAGGAGGAGGAGGAGGAGGAAGAGCAGAAGCAGAATCACTAGATACACAGGACTGTTATCAATGGCCTTGAGACTCCATCCCTTTATCTTATCATTACCCCAGATCACCACCCACCCATAACTCCCTTCAAACTCTTAAAGGTAAAATACACCCCATCCTCTCTTCCACACACCACACAGGAGGCATATCAACGTCACTTTTTCCAGCTCTGTCCCCCAGCACACTTTCCACCACACAGGAGGCATATCAACGTCACTTCAATTCGTGTTAATGAAGCCACAACTCCTCCTTTCGCCGTCCTAATGACCACCTACTCCCTGTCAAACCAGTTTGCTCGCCTTCCTCTCCGTTACATTGGTAGCACTCCTGCTTGCAGTAGTCCCTTCAGCACAACTACTACAACTAAAGCACCTTAATGCACCACCAGTACCTTTTTTTTTTTTTTCCGCCCAGGCAAACTTGACATTCGAAATCGCGATCGATAATCCCAGTTCTTCAGATGAACAGTACTACTGAAGCAGAATGGCTGGCGCCGCAAAAAGAATAAAAGTGCATCGATGGTGGTCCATTTTGTTCGGCGCGCAGTGCAAGCCCACGACGGGAAAAAGAGGTTCAGACGTACTGGTGGTTGAAGAAAGCTTTTACTTAACCCCCACCCACCACCCCTCCCCCCAACCCCCCCAAGTAGTAATCTTCTACCCAACCACGAGCACTGTCCACTAGTGATGGTGCTGCATGTAGAAAGAATCCTTTCGACCCTTTCGAGCCGTTACGCCCTTCGGGAGCCTTTCGGGGATCACTCTATGTCCTCTGCTGAGCTCCATTTAGGATGTTCGTACTCGCCTTCATCTGCGTAAATTTGGTATCGTAGCATGAGGTTGACACCAATCCATTCAATGCATCGTGTTCCACTCTCGATACACAATACCCGCACACTATAAACCATAAACATGAAAGAAAAAGAGTGAAAAATTTCCACCTATCACACGAGTCGATCCACACACAGGCACGCCACATGCCAGAGCATGCAACTCTACACAAGAATCTTCCAAGAGCCTTCAGTTCCATTGATGCTAATCTTGTACCTCGACCTCTTCACACACCCCTCCTCTTTACTATTCTCTCTCTCTCTCTCTCTCTCTCTCTCTCTCTCTCTGTGTGTGTGTGTGTGTCTGCGCTGTTGTCTAAGTGTGTGTGGGTCTATGGATCTCTCTGTCCCTTGCTATTTGTGTATATCGTGGAGAAAGCGGGGATAGGGAGAAGAGGGGGAAGCATTACACTTTTGGACACATCAGACAAAAGATGATTAAACTTTCATGTTCCTGTGTACTGCAGTCCAACTCTCTTCCTGAGGGCCCAGATCCATTCCTGTGGCAGATACTCTGTTCCTGGTCATTCCGATCAAAAGAAAAAAGAAGCATTACCATCATTAGAGAGCATGCCAAATGGCAGGAAAAAAAGGAAAAATGTTGCATTTCAAGAAATCACACATTTAGCGGTTAAAGAGGTTTGGTGAGTGCTAATAAGTAATTACTTATTACCTTAGGTCATCTCTTCAACCAATAGCCATAACCATTACCCATGATTCAAGCACGTGAAAGAGTTTGATGAGCTCTAATCAATAACTACTAATTAGCTTAGGTCATCTGCCTAATTCATAGCCGTAAACAGCAACCCTGATTCTCAGATAATTCCATCCATCCCTCCATTTACCCACCGCCCTGAACACACAGAATCAATCAACCCGCCCACCGCTACCCCTTCCTAATCCACTCCCCTCCCCCCCCTCCCCCCCCCCAACACTCACTTATGTGTCCCCCATCCCTCCTGAGGCCCAGGTTCAAAACCAAAGGCTGGTACCGGAGACTGTCTTGAAAAGCCGTGCATGCACCGAAGAACATCCTCGAGCCTATATTCAAGCCTATATTCAAGCCTATATTCGAGCCTATAGTAGTAGTTCCTCTCTCAAACAGACTACATAATAGATATTATACTTCCACGAAAGACCAAAGGGTTCTTTAGTTTTTCAAAACGGGGGATATTGAAGTCATATCTCCCACCATATTCAGCACTCCTGCTAAGTATAGGCCATCCACAAAGTACCGAGCCCTTTCCAGACGAGCCTCTTTTTTCGCCCCTTGGATTTTTACGTGCAAGGTGACAGACATTAAACCGCAAGTACCCCGCTCAGCTATTGATGCCGAGCTTAAATTCGTCCTGTCAGCCAAAAAGAAACAAACCGACTACCGTCTTCCCCCGAACATAACGCACCCTAAAAATGAATGTATACAAGCTATATTTCCGGCCAGATACAGCCAAAATAAGGGTGCGTTGTGTTCTGGGGAAGACGGTAGGCCTGCTTTTGGTTGGTGCCACCAGCCATTTCGGTCAGGTACCCGGACCACCGAAAAATGAGCTCGTATATGAAACTCGTATTTTTTTCCAAGTTGGGCGGGGTACTGGTGGTTTAAAGGTGCACAGCTGGGAAGACGGTTCCACCAACATTAGGTATGAAATCAAGTTAAGTCTGGCATATAGGGCCTCGCTCCACTACTCACCGCATGCGCAAAAGACAAAAAGATATGGCAGTGTATCTTCCCATATACCGAGAATAGTTTTTCCTTCATTTCGAGTTAGCGTTTTACTTTTGCATCCGTGCCCCTCCATTTGCCGGTCATCCTCCCCACAAGGTCAAAGTCAAAGTCAAGGTCAAAGTCAAAGTCAAAGTCAAAGTCAAGGTCAAGGTCAAAGTCAAAGTCAAGGTCAAGGTCAAAGTCAAGGTCAAAGTCAAGGTCAAGGTCAAAGTCAAGGTCTCTATGGTACATCAATCCAAAGAATGGCCCAACATGCGCCCCGATTGAAAGAAAGGATCTCACTCCCATCAACTACCCTATTACCGTCTTCCCCCGGACATAAGGCACCCGGGAAATGACTGTCTACAAGCTATGCGTTCGGTTCGATACAACCATAATCAGGGTGTGTTGTGTTCGGGGGAAGATGCTAGAAGGGATAGCTACCGCGACGTGTCCCTCCTTTGGAAGTTAGCTAAGCCGCCCCTCAACTCCGAATGTTAGAATTGAGAAGTCTGAAGGGCGATCCGGTGGTCGATGTGGCCCATGTTCACTTTCCTAAATAGGAGCGGGAAACGGAGTATGGCTCCCAGGGTATGGAACCGAACACGATTGAAACTCTCAACCGGTGCACCATCAGTTTCAGGTGCACTACCATTCAGCAACCGTCCCCTCCTCTAGTTCTCACAGAAAATCACAGCGCATGCTTTTCGACAAGGACGTCATAGGCAAGATACTTGTACAGGTACAACACCAGTCAGGTATATACTTCTCCCCACTGCAGACTACCACTCCTCCTCTCCTACATTTTTAGAACTTGAACCCCAACAAATTCCGCAGAGTTCTTTGTGAACAGCCCCCCACACCCTTGGATAGCACCCGGCATCAGCTCCACAGCAGTGGGCACTTAGATCCAGCAGGGGCACTCAGCAGCAGAATAGCATGAGGGAAGAAGAGGAATATAGGAGGAGGAGGAGAGAGATGGTGCCTATGGCCGCCAGCCTACCAGAGATAGTGGTTATGGCCACCAGCCTACCTGAGAGTAAAGATGGGTGGAGAGGAAAGAGAAGAAGCAGAAAGTCTCGGAACAGTCTTCTGGAAGCCAAGCAACAAAGCCCTCCAGCTTTCAGACTGCCAAGCCTGGCCCTTCAATGTGTTGGCTGGCCTACCCTGTTGCCTTCACGTAATACAATGCACCCGATAGCACTGGGGCGATGGCCTGGATTGCCATGTGGTCTTAAAATCTTAAACCACCAGTACTTCCGGGCCACATTTCTCCGCTGCAGGGAAACATGCTGTGTGCAAAAAAAAAAAAAAACAGCGTAACTTTCTTTTGGCCAGCCATTTTGCTCCAGTGCAATCAGACTCGTTCTCAAACACACTTTTCATGCATGTAAACAGCAACGCAGCATACTGGCGACATGCGCCCACTCAAAACTCAGAGATATGGCTTTCAAATACGAGTTCACTCTCAATTGGCTATGGCGACTTCAGCGCCCAAACATCTCATTGTTCACATACACTGGATCACCCTGGATATCCCACACGCATCACTCTAACACTCGAACACACACACACACTCACTACTAACTACAGCTATGGCAGCTATCGCTGCATCTAACCTATCACTATGCTAACTCCCTCTCTCTTGCCCACTGCGTCCTCCGGGCTCATCTGCAGACCTCCTTGCACAAGTCGCTGTGGCAGCGCTTCCGCATGGCTCGCGCAGGAATGAAAGAAAGGCTGGGCTCTGCCTCTTGATTTATACTTCAGAAACTCGTTGGTCTGCCCTTTGCCATCGACCCTTGGTGCTCACAGTCCCCCTGTGGTACTTGCTGTACCGGACTGGGACTGACTGGACCTTCCGCTGACTGACCGTGGACTCACCGCTATCCTACCGACGTTGTACTGCTGTTGCACTGCAGTTTAGTCCACCACTTGCCTCGCCACTTGCCCTTTTGCCTACCTTCTAGAAGGTCTACAGCTAAGCTTCCGGAACTCCCTAAGACTTCTACGCTATAGACCTACAGATCGAACCCCTGCTGCCTATGGACCTACGACAGACCTACCAACTGTTCTCGGGATCTATACAGATACTGTTCATAGGCAGGGTGAGGTCTAGGGATCGAACCCTGGGTACTGCATCCGCTACTGCTAAAAGGTGAAAACCGTTTCACCAGTACCCAAGGCTCATCTTGCGCTCTCCCCCTCTTTCTCATGTTTGTTTGCGTCCCACGTTTTTATCTCCTGCGTCTCCCCTTTCTTGCTTCAGCACTGCCAACTTTGCGCAGTGCGGCACATTTAGGGCGCAGGAGCATTCTCAATTTTGTTTTTGTTTTACAGTTGTTTGATGGTTGATGTGATGTAGAGTGATTTGGAATGTGTATGCGTGCGTGTGACTGTTTGCTTGTGTGTGTGTGCGTTGTGTGTATACACTTGTGTGTTTGTGTATGTGATGTGTGTGTGTGTGG